GGGGAGGGGGTGGACCAGCCGAACGTGAAACGTACAAAAACGAGAAATCGCGGGGTTGGTGAGGGGAAGCGAGAAAAGGGGTACGAAGAACGTGGGGAGTAGAAAAGAGAATTTATAGAAACCTATTCTCGAATGCCTCTGTCGGCGAGGTTTGCTTAGCGCTCGTCGTGAGGGATTCGCGTCGAGAGATTCGATTAAAACGAGGGATAATTAACCAATCTTCCCGAGGGACTTTGATCGGGGAAAACTTTCGAGGGCCGTTTTTGACTCGGACGGGAGATTGACGTTGATCCTCCGCGAACGATTTTCCGGCGACGACGACTAAACTATCCGTTTCTGACACGCTCGTTTAATCACGCTAATTACATTGTGACTCGCTCGACAGTTTAAACGTCGACGATTACGTTTACCATAATTGAGCAATTTGGAAATCGAAAAGAGTGCGACGGTGTGTCGTTAATTTTACAATAAATCTCTAACTGCAATTACTTCATATAAAATTCACGATTTTAGAATATAAAGGTACAATCAATGAACTCTCTGACACTCTCGTCGTCGGCGTAATGACGACATAATAAGTACAGCGTCTTTTGTCAACGAAAAATCGAATGGAGCGTGGAGTAAGCAAGCATTTCTCGGATTCGTAGAGAAGCGTGGAACGAGGTCTGATCGGATTTCTGGCAAAAAGGGAAAGGGCTCAGGGAAAACATGCAGTAGGCAACAATAGGATTCTGCGACAAGTCGATTTGTCGTGGAGTCAAGTTCGCCGACACGTCATTTGTCGCCGTTACGTTTCTCGACGCGCCCTTCTCTCTCTCTTTCTCGTTTTCCCGGCACCGAGTGTCCACGCCGACATCCGAGCTTCCGATTCAGTCGCTCCGAAGGAAGGGATTTCGCCATAAAGGAACGCGTTAATAATGCGAGGTAATTTGAGGCTCCGTCGCGCATTTGCATTCAAAATTACTTTCCGCGGGTGCGACTTCGAGTAAGCTATTTTAAACGGGTACACGACGCAACAATTGTATGCGTTCTCATCTTTTGCATGTAGCATTGAAGATCAATGGGATATCTATCTTTTAAACTAATTTTTCAAGCTTGGGCTGTCAAACGGATGGCTTCCCTCTCTCGACACATTCTTAAATTTCTTAGTCCGTACGTATACAAATACGTCACGGATTTATGGCGATACAGTTATCGTGACGTCAATATTAAATGTAAGTAAACGCTAAGATGAAACGGAATAGAATGTAAAATATTACGTCATTCGTTTCCGCCGTCGTGTTCAACTTTATGATGGCAATTTGTTTTGTAGCAGAAAGAAAATTTTATAGTAATCTCTGGACATATAAAATACTGAAAATTTTATAGATTCAACTTAAAGTTCAACTTGAAGTAAAGGATAAATCTTTGAAAAAATAGAGAAAGAAATCAAGAAATAGAAAAATAAAGGAATTTGAGAAAATTTATACTTGAAGGTAGTCAGAATTTTCATTAACTTTCGCTTTTTACGATGTGACGGTTAATGATTATATTATTTACGATATAACAAGTGCATGAACGCTTATATTAATAAGGCTATTAATTTAATTTTTAATTTAAAAAAAGTTGACTTCTAAGTCTTATTTATATTATTTTGATCTCGTTTTATCGTGTACCGCAATAAAGTGGTTCAATATTTTTTATTGTATTGTATTTACCGAGATTCTCGGTCGATGACATATTGAACAAGTGCAGCGGGTCAAACGGCGGTGGCGTCGAGTGCGCCGAAAGATCGATGGCTTCTTTAGAATCGAAAGAGAAGTCTATTGCCGGAGAGTGGCGTCAAATTGACTACGTCCTGGTCCTGCCATTTATACGCGTCGCTAACCTTTCAGACATAAAATTGGCCCATAAAATGCGATAAACGCAATAAAAAGGAAGAGACAATGTGTTTCGAGTTTACTTTTATTAGTCCCGACTACATTTCGCTCGCATTTTATGTGGAGTGGAGTCTTGCTCTTGCGTTACATACGTTTTCGCAACGCACGCGGAGATTGTTGTAATCCATACGGAGGCGATATTCACGAAACAAAGAAATATACATATTTCAGCGGTGCGTTATGAGAACGAATGTAAAAAAAAAAACGCTTCGTTAAAGAGGAAAACGACGGGTCGTTGGCTCCCTCGGAGAGCCAAACGGAAATGTCAGCGTGCGACGTTGAGTTGACTGCTTTTAGCCTCGGCATTTATATTCATCGGTAACTTTGATTGTGCGCCGTAGGAATCGAGAATGGTCCCCGAAACGAAGCAAGACGGCAGTAAAACTTTCACAGGGACACCGAACAGGCAGGGAGAGGAGAGAGAGGGATAGAGCGAAAGAGAAAGAAAGAAAGAGAAAGAGAGAGAGAGAGAGAAAAGGGGAAGAAGGGCGGGGGAAAAGGGTGGACGGGTAGTGAAATAGGCAAATCCCATGGCACTCCATCCCGCTCTGGCAGCGAGTCAGCCAGGCTCTGGGGAGAGAGTGTGGGCCCCTGTTATACCGGAGCTTTTATTTCCGAAGCATCGATCTCCATAAAGTTGCTGCCGCGAAATGAGTTCCTGCGGTCTTCCCGGAGTTACCCTAAAGCGCTTTGCACCTGCAGAGATACCTAAAACGGCGGCGCGTTGTATGTGTGTCCCTCACTCTGTGCACCTACTATCTCTCTGTGCAGTTGCACTTAATTAAAGAATGCAACTCAGTCGGGTATCTAGACGTCTAAATCGCCGCGTATACGGAACTTCGTTACCGTATTTATATAGAATACCCGGAGTATCTATATTTCTCGTTGCATTATCATGCCGTTAATTAAATTGATAAATACATATCGTGAAGATATTGCGGATGTTGCATCAATTTCAATTGAAAGGTAGCTGAAAACGATTTTATTGAATTTAGTCATAACAAGCTAAATAAAGTTAAGCTCTTATTCAAGCCTTAGAGTTCTTATTCAAGCTAAACAAGCTCCTCACCGCGAGTTATACTCGAACTGTCATTGTAGAATCAGATTGTGATTTTATAGCGACAGAAATAACTGAAATTGTCAGGTCATCTATAAAGATTGACAGGTCATCTATAAAGATTATTTTAGAATCTGTACAAAGAGATAATCATAAAATTCTATAAAACGCCTTTCTATATTAATATATTTTATTTAAATTTTATATTAAATGTAATATCTTTGTCATAAGGCGTTTAAAATAACTTTATTCAAATTCATGTGAGAGGATATTTCTAGTTTCGTCTCTTTTCTTAAATAAGTACTTAGATTTTTAGAATTTCTAGCACTTAAGCGTCTACAATGAAACTTAAGACTTAAAATTTAAGAGAATTAATCAATCACAATCAATTATTCTTCTCACGTGAGATGAATAATCGACTATAATTGGTCAATTTTCTTAAATTTTAAATCTTAAGTCTTATTGTATATATATATATATGCTAGAGCTATATAAATTTAATAAGATTTTAAATATTTAAAGTGTCGTCTACAATAAGACTTAAGATTTAAGATTTACGAAAATTGATCAATTATAATCGCTTATTCATTTCACGTGAGAAGAATAATTGATTGTGATTGGTTAATTCTCTTAAATTTTAAGTCTTAAGTTTCATTGTAGACGCTTAAGTGCTAAAAATTATGTATATATATATATATGTATATGCTAGAGCTATATAAATTTGTAAGCATATATATATATATTATATATATATATATATATACACAGAGTACATATAGAGTGTATATATAGAGTTTTTATTGCAAAAAATTCTTTTTCCAAGTTTTAAACATTTTTACAAATCGCAGACATCGTACCTATAACGGTATCTAACAGAGACGGCGCTATATATTCAGATTTGCGACTGGAACTGTACGCAGTCGAGTAATTCGAGAAAACGCGCCACAGAGCGGACTCCTTTCTCTTCTTCCCTGTAAGTACTCCCTGTTAACACAGTATTTACGAGTCGTTCTACGTTCCCTCGGGGATAGTCAGCGCTAGTTGGCATCGGATACGTATTTTCCTGCGCGAGGAGCGAGAGCATCTTCCCACTTTTATCTCTGGTTTTCTCTCCAGGCTTCCTCTCCTCTCTTTTATACGGGCACGTGCGCGTTGCTTCCTCGTCAACCTCGCGACTTCGGTGCGCTCCACCTTTTAATCTTTCGCGTTTTCTTCCCTCCAAAAGATTTATCCCTCGTAAACTGCCGATGCATTGACTGCAGAGGTCGAGAGATCTCGCGAAATGCGTTCGAATCAGAGGCTTGCGAAAAGTATCGGAAACAGAATCGGGGAGAAATCGAAGCGATATATTATATCGCGAAGCGAGTACAAGTGCCAATTTAATCGCCGTTAAGGCGGGATTTATGACGTTTGGAGCACGGCGGGGGGGGGGAGGAGACCAAGGACGGTTTCGGAGAGGAATGAGGGACGACTCCTCTCCACCGTCAAGTCGTCAGACACACAAAGAGATGTATCCTGAGCGCGAGACGTTACCGTTCTATTCGATTTCGTTCTATTATGTCCCGCGGCAGTGCACCTCCGGTTTCTCTCTCGCCTGCCCCTCCGGGCCGGGACGCCAGGACGAGTACGTCGCAGGACAACAGTGATACGGGTAGACGGACACTCAGACGTTCGCAATTACGACGGCAAAATACACGTAAGATAGGTGTAGGTATACCTGCGCCTCTCTCGCGAACGCGGACGCAATCTGTTAACCCTGGGCTCCCCTCCTGCCCTACTATTGTTGCTACTGTTGCACGCCTCTGCTGTTGCTGCTGAAGCGAAGGAGAGTCTCACGGTGCTGCAGGAGAACTGACGCAGCAAGACGCGTTTCCCGCTCGCTTTCCGAAACGGTCTCGCGTTATCCCTCAGATTCAGACTTCGGGGCTTCAGCTGTAGTACGCGCGGCAATTCGCTCTGGCCCTTCCTACGGAAGAGCACGGAGTGCAATTAAGCGTCGAAATTGAGAGAAAGTTTGGAGCGCCAAACAAAAATATCGAAACGCAGGTGCGCACTCGAAGAAAAAAGAAAAGAGAGCTCGATATAGGGGATGTATTTTTTTCCACACGTTCGTATACTCGATCCTTCCGTCAGCGAATTTTTAAGAAAAACGAATTAACTATGTTAAAATTTTAATTATTATAAGCCTCGAATTATTAAGAATTGAAGCTCAATGTGCTATCTCTATTTCCGGCCTCAGCTAAATAATTGCGTTGCAAGCCCGTAAATTTATTCGGCGCGCAGTTTAAACGGCTGAACATGGAGTTAAGAACTTCATGTAGAATTCGTTAGTGTCGGTCCACAATAAGGACTTTAAGCCTTACGCCATAAGATATTGACCAATTACAATCGATTATTCTCCTCATATTTGACTACGATTTATTTCTTACTGCTCAGGGCTTAAAATGCTCATTGTGGACCGACACTTAGACACCGAGATCCATCAGCCGTGACCGTAGAAGGCGCTCTCAAATTTAGTTGTGTGATTCACACACGCTGTCTAATTCCAACTATAATTATTGTTTAATAAAACTTTATTTTTCGACTGGCTCGCGAAATATTTTTTGCTACTTTCAACAGGCACTTAATTTGGACTGTTATATACGCGCGTATACAGTACGCGTATAAAATTGTTAAGATGCTATTTTTAAAATTGCAGCCGGGAGCGTGCTCAATTGCTGGAATTCGTAAAAAAATATATCCACCGGGAGAATATCTTTTGACAGGAAGAAGAAAAAAAAAAAGGAGCAGATTGAATTAAAACCGACTTCAAACGGGAGATTTTCATAGGAACGTTGCATTATGCAGCACGAGCGCGCCGTGACGTCCCCGCGGAGCAACTACATTAATCCTTTACGTGAATGACTCTCAAGCTTAGAATACGTTTGTATATACATACGCGTTCTCGATTCCTTCGAGACATTTGTATTGCTCGGGCTGAGATTCACCTGGAGAAATCGCAACGCGCGCCGCATTCCGAATAAATGCGCCCGGCATTTCGTCCCCCCGTCCCCCTCCCTCCCCTCTCCTCCGCGCGGAATGCACGCGCCCGGAACGAGACGCACACATAATCGTTAAATGAACTAGACGAAATAATCTGTCGAACGCACGATTTATTCGTTGCGGGTAGCGGCGGGATTAGTCCGCTTTCAGTCAAGCCCCGACAAAATAAATCAACGTCGGGCAATTGCAATTGCGCAACGTTGACACGGATTAGTTACGTGTATTAACATGGATAAATTACGGAATTGGTTACTCGCATACATATATATATATATATATATATATATATATATATATATTCGGGCTATCCGGCGGGCTGTCGGCTGTGACCGATAAAGAGAGACGACGGACTTCCGTCGAGAAGTGAAATAGAAATATATTTTGATTGATCGACGAAAGTCCATTCGTGGGAGAGAAGAGCCCGAAATTTCACGCAGCACTGCTTAATTGGCTGTCTCATGTTGTACCTTTGATAATCAAAACGCGAAAAGCTCTCGAGGGTCGGCTTGAGCGTTTCGAGCAAGATCGAGGGATAATAGCGCCGTTGGGGCGGGAGGGTTCATCTTTCTCTCTTTGTTTCTCTCTCTCTCTCTCTCTCTCTCTCTCTCTCTCTTTATCTCGGAGGGCGACTTATCGAGTCGGGGAAGCCGTTTAACGGTTCGTTACGAGAGAGCTCTTTCGCACTTTATCTGGTTTCAGGCTCTCCGACGTGAGCGGCGGGTGGAGCTGGGAGGGTTTCGGAGGAGGGATTCGTCGGGACGTGGGAATCATTCTGAAGACGAGAGAGACAGGTCGCGAACGGAATATCTACGTCTACAACGTCGGACTTAAACTTGTTGTCGCCTTAAGCTATGTACAACGCGAGAGCTGCAGCCAGCAGGTCCTTCCCTTTTCAACAAACGGGGTAACAAACTCAAAACGTGGTTGAATAAATCATGGCATAATTTTTTTTCTTTTCAAAATGACGCAGAAGTCTATTAACTCTAAGCCGCGGTTTATTCGGTTTAGATGGAACTCTCTGAATTTATTCGTCAATCCTACGGGACTTTCCGCGATCATTAAAAAGTTAAAAGACTCAAATTGGATTTGCACCGTACTGAGATTAAAATACAATTGCGTCAGTATTGTGTGCACCCTTCGCTGTGCTACGATGTGAATCGGATGTCTTCCGTCTCAAGGAGCCATTAAAGCTACGTTAATTATTGTGAGAAAAGAAATCGAGATCGTCAATTTCTTATATACACACACACACACACAGAGCGTGTATTGAGATCCACAGAGCGGACAGCGTGTCGCGTGACATCCGCGAAATGCACTTATTATTATTACGTACGCCGCCGTATTCCGTTTGTGCTCGACGGCGTGGCCGGGGGAAAATTTCGCGGTCCTATTACCCTTTTCGTGGCGCACTAATTAGTACCGCGGCAAGGGTGGCGTGGACTTCGTTAGGGAGAGTTAGTATCCATCTACATTCGCGCATTCGAGGCGCATTATATCGCGCCGGCATTTGTAAAACGCGACCGAGCATACGTACATTACAGCGCCGTGTCCGTATCTTCACGTCGATTTTAAATCGACTCTTCAGCTTTCTTTTCACGCCACGTCTCGGAATAATCCCTCGTTGACACGGCAATTTTTATAATCAGAAACATTATACAAAGATTTAAATTGAAGGAATTAGAATCCCCTCCCAAGAATAAATCAGATATAGTGAAGTATGTCTATGTGAGCCGACACGGGTATAGTGTGTGTATATATAATAATTTTTATTGCTACAAAATTCAATCATATACAAATTGCGCGCCGCATTTTTGTCGGTCTTGAAACACAATTCTTACATGAAGCCGAAATCCATTTGTAACGAATTATAGATGCATATTAGCATCAAAGATATATTAAATTGCTCGTCAATTTAATACAAGTGGATTTTGATGTCTCAAGACCGACAAAAACCGCGGGGCGCAGTTTGTACAGTCAGTGGCACAAGAACATTATTCATAATTCTGTTAATAGATGTATGAGTAAAATTTTTATATGTTAATATTTGCATTACGTTAGGTTAAAATGCTTTGAAAGTTAGATTCAGTTCGGTTTAGTTATTGTTATAACTGGATAAAATACAATAAATACAGGGTACATAAAATGGTATTTTTACAAAACACTGATTTTCACAATCTCTTCATGTAAACGCGATTGAATATAAATGTATGGATTGTTAAAAAAGATCTAGATGAAGAAAAAGCGTGTCTTCATTCTGAAGAAATTATTGTATCAATTACATTCGATTTGAAGGTCATGATCTGGAGTTTCCGAGACTTTTACAAAAAATCTTGTAAAAATGCCTCAATATTTCCAAGCCTTAATCGACAATGGAGGGAACTAGATGACGTATTAAATATAAGTGCATCGAAGCGTATATATTATAATATACTTCAAAATCATATAATTATTTTTTAAAAATCTTTTCTTTCTCAAGAGAAACAGATAACACGCTCTTGTGCCACTGTATGCGGCTGGATATTGTAACAATAAAAAATTATTATGCACACCAACACTTGTATAGCCATATACTTCGCTACATCTGAATTATATGAAAAAGCTTACATTAACGCGTCGCGTACAGAAAGATAGTCGGCAATTCGGCTCATAAGAGCCCGCAATTCGTGGGATTCTGTTACGCGTAATGATTTTACGTTGGCTAGAAAAGTCGAGGGGACTGGTGTTGAGAGTGAGTCATGCGGCCCGAAGTGTGTGTATCGGATGGATAAAGAATTCGGTGAGAGGAAAGTAGCGAGCGTTGACGGAGGCGCCAGACGAGGGTTTTCTCATGGAAAAACACGTCCTCACCTATTTCCCGAGCAGAGGAAGTTTCTTTGTGCCTTCAAATTAAGTTAGACCACATGGAAGACGTATTCTCAAACTTTTTCCTTTCCGCGCACGCCTCCTTCATCCGCTCATCTTATCTTCGTCTTCGTGTCTCTCCACCTGTCCCGACTCGGGTTACCACTCCATAAAAGGAGAGAGAGACGCGACTCGATTGCGCTTTATAAAGACATACTCGATTTGGTAAATTGTCAGAAATCGGGTGCTGATAACTGAAAGATTGATAAGAGTAACGCTTGTTACGCAATTAATTTTGTGATCTAGTCTGAACAATTTGGAGTGTTTTATTCGCCCCAAAAACCGACACTTTTCTTTACTTGGGTTACTTCAGACACGCCTTGCAGACAGAATTGCAGTCTCTCTTTCTCTCTCTCTCTCTCTCTCTATCTATCTATCTATCTATCTCTCTCTCTCTCAGCAAGGAGAAGAAACATTTCTACCCCAAGTGGCTGATGGAGAGGAGCACTTGTCGAGATTTCATTGATTCGAAATAAAGCAGTCGCGCACCGAGTGCAGTTTAAATACGATTCATCTTGTGAACATTCGAAATTCCGCGTCGCGCGAGGATCGTCGTAAAGAGATAAACATTCACCGTCGACGTTAAACTCCGGAACTCCGACGGTGAGACCGCCATAACAGATTCCCGTCGCGATTCCGCGAGACTCGGTTGACGAGTCAATGGAGAAGTCGGCGAGCAACATCATTGTCAAAAGCGACGTAATAGCGACGGAGGCGGCAATGACCCGTGCAAAACGCGGGGAAGGGGATCGACCGGGACTTTTGCGCGGCAATCACGGTAAAGCGCAAACTATTCAAGTTGTGGGCTTTCACCGTCGACTTGCAAGCACCAATCACTCTTTCTCTCTCCAGTCTCTCCTTCCGCACTCTCTCCTCCCTCTCTCTCTCTCTCTCTCTCTCTTTCTCGCGTCCGTCTGTTGTTCTTTTTTTTCCCTCTTTCGCCGTTCCTCTTCCTCCCACTCGTGCCCTCTCCGACACTTTCTCTCCTCGAGCATTCTGCCCTCTCTATCGTTTCTGCTTCTTTTCAGGCCTCCCGCCACTGTATACAAAGTGGAAGCACTAAATTGGAAACCGCGGCTTTGTCGGCGCTATTGCGGCTTCTTCTCTCCGCCGGTTCCGGTTTTTCGCCCTGTGTTTGTTGCTCCTTTTCTTTCATCCTCCCGCCTTCACCTCTGTCCCTTTTGTTCCTGCGGCGTTGCAGGCGGGACCGTTACTCTTGCACCGAGTCGCGAGAAGGCTTGCCTTGACGTCGCGAGGACAGGCCGCCGTTACCGTTGACATTGGGTCCAGATTTATTGAACGTGCTGCTCCTGAGGCAGAGCGGTACTTCCACCGGCTACAATTGAATTTACAATCGAGAAAGACCTCTCTTAAACCCCCGTCCTCTTGACGAAACATCGTTTCTCTCCTTTTTCCCTCTCCTCTCTCTTTCTCTCTCTCTCTCTCTCTCTCTCTCTCTCTCTCTCTCTTCATACACACTTCGATTTATATGATAATTATTCACACATAGATACACACATACACATATTCACACTTCGATTTATATGATAATTATTTAATAGTACCTATGAAAAATTAACGTTTTTGTAACTCAGCATAGCTATGCCTCTGTGCTTAATTTTTAAACCATTATATCGGTCTCACAGAGCGCTATTGAAACGTTACTTGTCAACAATTTTCTTACTTGTCACCATTTAAATATATTTTATTTCTATTGTATACGAGATTTTTTTATTAACCCTCACATTAAAACATAGTTTTTCTTTTCCCCATCACAAATATTCAGAAAACATATATTTTTATTATAATTAACTTATAAAATTAGCGAGAGCATAATAGCGGTCTGTCAGACCGACATTGTGGTTAGTGTGATTTTTTTTTGGCGTGGTGGTTTAAAGGTTAAGGGGAACTTATCGCGGAGCGCACAATAAATAATAATTTATCATCTTCATATCTCTGTTGACGAAGCATCATTTCTCTCTCTCTCTCTCTCTCTCTCTCTCTCTTTCTCTGGAGGCGTATATGAAGATGATCCGGAGAGAGTGGATGTTGCAAGTACCCGGAACAATCAGTCTCAGAGTTTCTTCAACATTGTCCGAGACTAAATGGCATTACCGGCAGGAAATTAATATTGCGCAAGAATAGCTGGTATCCGCGATAATAATGTGGTTTAAATATCCAGGGTTTATAGGTGAACTTCGCCGGTGCATTATGCACGAAGTCCCTTGAGTACTTTGGTCTTACCACAACATTCTGCTGAAACCTGTAAATGACCCTACTAAAATGTCCATGAGTGGATATTCGAGAAGTTTACGCACGACTTGGAGAATTGTACGCATGATGGGACACGCGAAAGTTTGCGAAACACTCGTATGTCTCGGAGTCGTATTTCTTTGCCAACACTGTAGAATCATCATTGCTTTCGAATTTATATCGATATTAAAATTTCAAATCTTCAATATTTTAGATGAAGATAAATCAATTATAACATTAATAATTATAATCACGGAATATTTAATACATTGGAATAACTTCATTCGATGTTCTTATATTAGGTTCTTCGAATAAATATTGGTTTTCCGTAATTCATCATACCTCTGCGACGGAAATAAGTAACGGCGGAGAATTATTTAATGCCCGACGTATCTGTAACTTTTAATTGCGATCGAAAATAAGTAACGCTAGAGAATTATTTAATGCTCCATCGTATTTATAACTTTTAATTGCAATCGCCCCGCGCTCTCATTGAGCGAAAACGTGATAGGATTATTCTCATCTAACTTACTCATCGGTTTCCACTGCGAATGAATGTAGATAGCTATCGGATAGATGTAATATATGTGGAGGTCGATCCACCTGGAATTAATTAAGACTGTTCCGCAAACGTCGATTACTATCGTTTAGAAATCCCCGATAAGGGACAGCGTTATACCCCACTGGGGTGACTGTCGGAACATCGTGAAATTTATCTGACCGTTTCTTGTTTCCGGGAGCGCGATATGA